GGGGAGCAACACGGTCCAGAACATTTAAACAGGCAGAGTTGAACTGAGAGGTTAGCTCCTCAGTGGTAAGAGACACCGAGAGCTGTTCGATCCTCTCAGAGTTAAAACCTTCATTAAAACGAGCAGCAGTGAAACGGTTAATGGAACGCGTACGTGCAGGAACGCACGTCTTAGCAGTAGGACAAGGGGGGGTGAAGTCAAACAATACAGGCATGTGATCTGAAAAAACATTGTCACCGATTTTCAAATTAGAAACAGAGACATCGCGTGTTAAAAAATGTGCTCTTTAAATAAAGTAGACTTAATATAATCTAGATGAACTAACAACGAAGAATAACTTCATTAACAATGTTTTTATTCTGTAACAGAAACAACTTAAAGTTCATCAATTTGCCTGAAAAAATTACATCTTTAGTTAAACTGTAAATTTTTGTGACCATTTGATACTGAAAAATAAAATTAAATATAATCAATAAATAATAATAAATTTAAATTGATCAGCAACATTTTTACTCGAGTGTTATATAAAACACCTAAAAACCCCGTAATGAACAAAACAATTGTGCTGATTTTTTTAATCAAAATGAGGAAGTCAGGATCAATGATGATCGATAAACTCAAACATTTAGTCAACGTGAAAGAGGAAAGAGGGGCAGGTGTCGCTCTCGCTCTGACTTTACTCTTTGTTGCCTGCGCGCTGTGGCTGACGTCCAGAGCGCATGACATAAACCCATGCAGCGGAGGTGTCCGAGTTATTTATTCATCATCTCAGCAGCCGAGAGGAGCGACACGGTTCAAGCACGGCTCCCAAAACAACAAGACACTTGTTTGTTCGTAACTTTATTACTAATAAAACAGAGCGATACGAGCAAACAGCTGCCGAAACGCACGCCACACATTCACTTCACGTGCAACAGCTGTTCCTTTTGATTGTTACGTTAGAAAAACATCAGTGTTCCTTTAAAGAGTTGAGAAGTAAATGGAGGGACTCATGTTTGCCGGGGAGGGTGTGACATGCACAGAATAATTCCATTGTGAATGGTTGTTTGGAAGTATTTTAGCTTTCTTATCTTTCTCTTCTAGAAACCAGAGAAGCATTTTATTTGAAAAGAAATACAAGTTTCAGATCTGAATATATTGCGAGAATAGTGTGGTGTAACCCAACCAGCAAGGGTGCAGTGGTTTTCTGTGTCTTCTCAAGCTCTTTCGTTCCACAAAGATTCCAGAAGCTGTGCCATCCTGTTGTCCCGTCTCAAGATTAGTTACCTGTATTTCAGGAAACTTATCTGCTGACTTGGTGCTGCCTCTGAGGTACCCGTTACATTATTGCACAGTTAGTACAGCAACATTTTGTTCCATACAGCTGTGTGAAGGATAGACAGAAGTGTAGCAGAACTGTAGCTTTAAAGCCACATAGAGTGATATAATACATGTATGGGGGGACAAGATGGTGAGATTGTCCATGAACACGTCCAGATTGTTTCCATAGTCCTGATAAAGATGTTACAGTGTCTCTCAGCCGGAGCAGAGCTTCTTAATTTACGTATCCACCAGGAGCAATTTGAGATAAGTTGTCCTATCCAAGGCCAGTGGGGAGGCCACATTCAGATAAACAACAATTGCTTTGGGCAGGTCGACTCTACTCACACGTCTGCCTTCAGTTCTGCTGGTTCACTCGATGGTGAATCCAAACAGCCTGATCCATGGACATTCTGCCAGTCAGTGCTTGTTAGTCTTCTCCAAGGTCGAATCCTTCATGCCGGTGAGTCCTAGGAGCTGCAAGTGGCCCACGAGTCTCAGAAATCGCTTCCAGCTTACGGTTCAGCTCGCAAAGCATATTAGTCTGAGAGCTCGAAGCACGGAGTAATCCTAGGCAGATTTACTATTGCGAAAACTGCTGCCGCCGTCTTCATAACCCGGGTATCTGCCGATCCCCAAAAGCAGAAACCCTGATATTATATATATATATATATTTCTATTGCGTTGAGACCAGCTGACCAATTCAATTCACTTTATTTATAGAGCGCCAAATCACAACAAAGTTGTCTCGGGGCACTTTACAGGAACATTCACATAAAAGCCAGTCAGTAAAGTTCTCTCTCTAAGGACCAGATCAATAATAATTTTCGATTCAAAAGATGTGTAGAGTGGCTCTGTGATTCATAGGACTAGAGCAAAAGCGGGAGGGGAGGCAGGAGAGGGAAAGAGAGCATGCGTCTTCCTCGAGAGCGAGAGAGAAAAACGTGAATGATGCTGATGAGGATGATGATGTTGAGGATAATGATGGGGATGATGATGAAGATGATGATGTTAGTAGTGGAGAACTGTGTGTGTAGCAGAGATTATAAGTAATGTCTTGAACCATCTGGTCCTACCAACCCCTCAGAAAGTCATCCTGATAAACTAGCAGGAAGAAGTTCTGTGCTTCTCACAGCTCGTGTTTTGGCTTTCAGGAACAAGTAGAGTACATCTTCCTCATCATCTTCACCGTGGAGACCTTCCTGAAGATCCTGGCCTATGGTCTGGTGATGGATCCCAGCTCCTACATTCGTAACGGCTGGAACCTGCTGGACTTCGTTATTGTTATCGTTGGGTAAGAGCACACTGGAACAACCTGAGAACCCTGAATAGACGTATTGTTGTGCTGTTACTGACCCTGCTCTGACAAAAAGCATCTGCAGAGCCAACAAACTGTTGCATCAAAGCTACACCTGTCCCTGAAGCCCCTTTAGTGGACTCGTACCTGCAGAGAGATGCTGCTTGTTGGGCTTCCACAATGGAAACAACCTGACCGGAGGATTCAGGAGACAAAGAGTTAAATCAGAGGACAAATTCAGACTCTGATGAAAGACGGTCAACGTTTGAGCATCTCGTTCCTTTTCATCGCCTGATGCTGTCATTCTGAGTTCCTCAGGTCCTGAGCTTTGACCTCTGTTTTGGTCCTTGCTGCAGGACCAGGATATGACTTGTCCTCTTCAGGGCGAAGATGACGGTCATGGTGATAAAGCCTGTTGTCACGGTAACGCTGCCTGAGGATGCTCTGTTTCATTTACTGTTAAAGAGGACACTGCGTGTGAGACACAGAGAGACATTCAGGATATCACAGTCAATGGTTGAACCCAGATGTAGGCAGACATGAGGAGACAAACGTCAGGAGGCACAAGGGAGCACGAGGAGGACCAAAACATTTGAAAAGCTCAAGACAATGAGCCACTGCTGGAAAGGTGGTTAGAAGTGGTTTCAGTAGTGGAAAGTGAGAACACCTGAGATGATTGTCAACTAGAAACCGGTGAGAGTGATTCTTGACTGAAAACCTGGTGATGCTGACTGAGGGTGAGAGTGAGGACGGACACAACCACAGGGAGCTGAAGCGAAACACAAAGCTCAGAGAGAAAAAACAAACAACCACAAGGAGAAATAAACTAAAACGAGAGAAATTATATTTCCTGCTAAAAATAAGCAGAAATTAGCAAAAAAAAAAAAATGGCTGAAAAGTAGCTGAAAGGCAGGAAGAAACAAACTACCATAAGGAAGCCAAAAAAAGCTAAGAAAAATGTGGAATTAGCTAAAAAAAAAGAACTAAAGTTACCATTATAAAAGCTAAATAGTATCTGAAAAAGCAAAAAAGCTGAAACTAGCAGAAATCAAATGAAAGGAGCATAGCAAGCTGAAATTAGCAGAAAGAAGTTAATTGGACTGAAAGTAGCAGAAATTAACATAAAATGTTTAAATTTATCTGAAAATAGCTGAAATTAACTTGAAAATTTCAAAAAGACTCACTGAAAAGGTATAACAAGCTAAATTAGCATAAGGAATCAGAAATTCAATTAATTTCCTCTCAACGTCTCTCAACAAAAAAAAGTGTCCAGATGACCTGACTGACCATTGTTGTTTTTTTAATCTGAATTATTGAGCATGAACTTTGATGTCAACTCAATTGTGTTTATTTATATAGCGCCAAGTCACAACAGAAGTAGTTTCAGGGCAATGTACAGAAACTTTCATACCTGTATATATAAAAATAAGTTAACATTATTAATTTGAGCAGACTGCTACTTGAATTGCCACCTTATTGTGGTGGAGGAGTTTGTGTGCCTGAATGATCCTAGGAGCCCTGTTATCTGGGGCAATTTTAATTGCCCCTGGTAGGGTCTCCCAAAGCAGATTGGTTCTAGGTAATAGGCCAGACAAAGAGCCATTCAGAAGACTTTTATGGACAAACAAAAACAAGGAGCTCAGTGTCCCTTGCCTGGAAGTGGGTTACCGGTGCCCCACCCCGGAGCCAGGCCTGGGGGAGGGGCTTGTCAGCAGTGCCTGGTGACAGGGTCTCTACATGGGTAGAGACCCCATTGGTGTGGGCTCTGACTGTTGTTTGTGCCTACATGCCAAATGGCAGTTCAGAGTATCCAGCCTTCTTGGAGTTCTTGGTAGGGGTGCTGGAAGGTGCGCTAGCTGAGAACTTCTTTATTTTGCTGGGGGATTTCAATGCACATGTGGGTAACAACAGTGTGACCTTGAGGGGCATGATTGGGAAGAACGGCCTCTCTGATCTGAACTTGAGTGGTGTTCTGTTGTTAGACTTCTGTGCTAGTCATAATTTGTCCATCACAAACACCATGTTCGAACATAAGGGTGTCCGTAAGTGCACTTGGCACCAGGATGCCCTAGGTCATAGATGGATGATTGACTTTATAGTTGTGTCATCTGACTTGCGGCCGTTTGTTTTGGACACTTGGGTAAACACAGAGGAGTTGAGCTGTCAACTGATCATCACCTAGTATCGAGTTGGGTCAGATGGTGGGGGAAGATGCCAGAGAAACCCGGTAGACCCATATGTGTAGTGAGGGTTTGCTGGGAACACCTGGCAGAAGAACCCTTCAGAAGGATCTTCAACTCGCACCTCCGGTAGATCTTTAACCACATCCCAGTTGAAGTGGGGGACATTGAGTCTGAGTGGGCCATGTGCCGTGACTCAGTTGTTGAAGTAGCTGCCTTGAGCCATGGCCGCATGGTTGTCAGTGCTTCTCGCAGTGGCCATCCTCGAACTCAGTAGTAGACACCCCGGGTAAGGGAGGTTGTCAAGCTGAAGAAGGAGTCCTGTCAGGCCTTGTTGACGAGTGGGACTCCAGAGGCAGCTGAGGAGTATCGGAGGTCCAAGTGGTCTGCAGCCTTGGCTGTTGCTGAGGCAAAAGCTCAGATGTGGGAGGAGTTTGGTAAGGCCTTGGATGAAGACTCTCAGTCAGCTCCAGGGAGATTCTGGCAAACCATCAGATGGCTGAGGAGAGGAAAACAGTGCTTTACTAGCACTGTGTTCATTGAAGGTGTGGTGCTGTTGACCTCAACCAGTGATGTCATTGAGAAGTGGAAGGAATACTTCTTGGACCTTCTAAATCCCATGGCATGTCTTCCATGGAGGAAAAGGAGTCGGGGAACTTTGGGGTTTGTCTGTCCATAACCATGGCTGAGGTCACCGAAATACAGTAGTTAACAAGCTTCAAGGCGGCAGGGCTCCGGGGATGGATGAAATTCACCCTGATTTCTTTAATGCTCTGGATGTTGTGGGTCTGTCTTGGATGACACGCCTTTGCAACATCATATGGACATTGGGGTAGTGCCACTGGATTGGCAGATTGGGGTGGTGGTTCCCCTCTTCAAAAAGGGGGGCCGGACTCACCGGAGGGTGTGCTCCAATTATAGGGGCATAACTCTTCTAAGCCTCCCTGGTAAGGTCTAATAAGGTGTACTGGAGAAGTGAGTCAGATGGTTGGTCGAATCTCAGATCCAGAAGATACAATGGTAAATGGTGTGTACATATACAGCACCTTTCTATCTTATCAAGATACTCAAAGCGCTTTACGCTACAATCTGTGCCCTCATTTACCCATTCATACAGCACTCTACTACATCTATAAAAAGAATAATCAGTGCTTTATCACATTTATACACTGATGGGACACACATCAGAGGCAATGGGAGGTTTGGTGTCTTGCCCAGGGACACTTCGGCATGTGACTGCTGGTGTAATCGAACCCCCAACCCTTTCACTGGAGGACGACTGCTCTAACCACTCAGCCATAGCTGCCCTCCAATGCAGGTTCAGTGTGGGTTCCGTCCTGGCCGTGGAACACGGGATCAGCTTGTTACCCTTAAAATGTAAAAGAAAGAGTAATAGCAACAGTGGAAAGGAAAAACTCCCTCATGAGGAAGAAACCTTTAGCAGAACCAGGATCAGGACAAGAGGACCATCTGCTTCGACCGGCTGGGTTTGGCTATCTATTCCTATAGATACACAATGGCAGGTCAAGAATCACATGTTAAGTTAGAAATAGTATCAAATGAAAACTATTCAATTTTAACAATTCATTTAAGGAAATGAGGTCAGTTTGTCCTCTAGTAGTCTAAGTCTATAGCAGCATAACAAGCCGACCCTAACTATAGGATTTATCAAACAGGAAAGTCTTAAACTGGACAATGTGTCAGCCTCATGGACAGAAACTGGAAGTTGGTTCCACAAGAGAGGAGCCTGAGAACTGAAAGATCTTCCTCCCATTCTGCTGCTGGAAACTCTAGGAACCACAAGTAAACCTGCAGTCTGAGAGCGAAGTGCTCTGTTAGGAAAATATGGACCAATAAGGTCTGTAATATAAGATGGAGCTAGGTTGTTGAGAGCTTTGTAGGTTAGAAGTAAGATTTTGAATTCTATTCTGGATTTGACAGGGAGCCAATGGAGAGAAGCTAAAACTGGAGAGATATGATCTCTCCCAGTAACTCCAGTTAAGACTCTGGCAGCAGCATTTTGGATCAACTGAAGACGTTTTAAAGAAGTATTTGGACACCCAGATAATAAACCATTGCAATAGTCCAGTCTAGACGTGACAAATGCATGGACCAGTTTTTCTGCATCATCTTTAGATCAGATGTTTCTAATGTTAGTGATATTACGCAGGTGGAAGAAGGAGGTTCTAGTAACGTTTGTAATGTGGGGAATAAAAGCCTTGGTTGTCGCTAAGGCAAAAGCTTGGATGTGGGAGGAGTTCAGTGAGGCCTTGGATGAAGACTCAGTCAGCTCCAGGGAGATTCTGGCAAGCCATTAGGTGGCTGAGGAGGGGAAAGCAGCACTTTACTAACACTGCCCAGTGAAGGTGGGGTGCAGTTGACCCCAACCAGCGATGTCGTCGGGAGGTTGAAGGAATACTTCTTGGACCTTCTCAATCCCACCAGCACGTGTTCCATGGAGGAAGCTGAGTTTGGGGACTTTTGGGTTGGCCTGTCCTTAACCGTGGCTGAGGTCACCGAGGTAGTTAAAAAGCTCCAAGGTGGCAAGGCTCCGGGAGTTGGTGAGATTTACCCAGATTTTCTAAAGGCTCTGGATGTTGTGGGGCTGTCTTGGTTGACACTGGAATTAGCTGAAAGTAGCTGAAAAAAGTTTACATTTGCAGAAGGAAGCTGAAAGAAGCTGATGCAGAACAAAATGTGAAAGGAGCAGTAAAAGGTTGTAAACACATCTAGAGATTACAAGGATGGAAAATGAGCTCAATTCATTTTCTATGAGATAAAAATGTCAGAAAATATTTCAAAAAGCTAAAGTTGCACCAATGCCAAAAGTCATAGCAGGATTGTCCTGAAAGAGCTGAGTGTTTTGATTTATGAACCACAAAAATGGTTAAATCATGTCATCTGGACCAGTTTCCTTAAGGGAGAAACGTTTCATCCTCCATCCAGAGGACTTCATCAGTCTGTGGCCTGCCAACCAGATCTGTCCCATAAGTAGCATTCATTACTGTGTTTCAAGCCAACCTCCTGTTGGAATCTTAGAAGTAGACTTTTAGCACGTGCAAAAGGACCCATCTGTCTAAAACAATCAATCATCACGTACAACAATCAAATGTTTTATGCCAGATGGCCGACTTACTTCTCACAGAAACAGCAAGGACACCAAGGCCAAAATGGTTCAGAAAAATGGATGATTGAGCTTACAACCTTTTCTTGTTTTCATTTATGATTTGTTGAAATAGCTTGAAAACTGCGGGACGAGAAAGATGCCGAAAAACGTACGAAAAACAGATCACAGTTTGAATCCTTCATCAACGTTCAGACTATTAACCAAAAACATGATGCAGGAGCTCAGTCTCTGATTTTGAGTCCAGGAAAAACCAGTACCAACAAAAGTTACAAGCACTAAAAGTCACAGCCCTCGATTCCTGGTTGAGCCCAACATTTTGATACATGAACAGCCGAAGGAAATCAGAAGTAGTTTGAAAACCTTGCAGAGACAGATTAAAACATACGGTGGTTGAAGGGGTTCCTGACACTGGTTTGTCCTGAGGTTGGACCATCTTGTGATGGCTGTTGGTCTCATGAACACTTCCTGTTTGCGATCAGGTTGTTTGTTTAGCTGTCTCTCCTCTTGTTTTGGCAGCTTGTTCAGTGTCGTCCTGGAGACGATGACTCATAAGACGGACGGCGAGCAGGCCACCACCCATCACATGCCGGGAAAACCTGGAGGTCTGGACGTCAAAGCTCTCCGAGCCTTCAGAGTGTTGCGACCCCTCAGACTGGTTTCTGGAGTCCCCAGTGAGTTTAAGGGACGGGAACATGACTGGGGCGTCATGCATGCTCGTGCACATGCTCAGCTCTGTGTCCATCAGGTCTGCAGATCGTGCTGAACTCCATCATGAAGGCCATGGTTCCTCTGCTCCACATCGCCCTGCTGGTCCTCTTCGTCATCATCATCTACGCCATCATTGGGCTGGAGTTGTTCATCGGACGCATGCACCGGACCTGCTACTACACCAGAACTGGTACCATCACCCTGCAACCCCTTCATGACCCTGAAGATCTGGGTCGTTAGTTGTAGAGTTACAGAGCCACAGAGTCCATGTTTAGTTGAAACATTTAGGTTCAGTTCGGACCTCTTCCTGAAGCAGTTTAGTCCAAAACTTCAGCTTCTTCTACACAAACTCTTAATTTGAACTTTATTTTCAGTCGCCTTCAGATTCAGCAACAAAATGTTGTTTTTTTAACTGATAAAAGTGTCGTTTTCATGTTTTTACCAACATCAAACTGGGCCAAAGAACTGTTCTGGTCCTCGAAAAGTCCCAAGTTTGAACCAATGAAAACCAGAAACGAGAGGAGTTACAGAAAAACCTCAGTCCTGTTTTTGTTTGCAGATAATTACGTGGAGGATGAACCGGTGCCATGTGCGTTCGCCGGTCACGGCCGTCAGTGCACGGTGAACGGGTCGGAGTGTCGGGGGAAGTGGGCCGGTCCTAACGGAGGGATCACCAACTTTGACAACTTCTTCTTTGCCATGTTGACCGTGTTTCAGTGTATCACCATGGAAGGCTGGACTGACGTGCTGTACTGGGTAAAGTCCACCGCAGGATTCTGGTTCTGGTCTTCCTGGACTCAGAACCCAGTTCTGACTTCCTGTTTATGTTTGCAGATGAATGATGCCATTGGGTTCGAGCTGCCGTGGGTTTACTTTGTCAGTCTGGTGATTTTTGGCTCCTTCTTTGTCCTTAACCTGGTTCTGGGAGTACTCAGCGGGTCAGTTTTCTCAAAGTGCACATGTTCCGAGAATGATGGACCAGAACCGGCCTCAGACTTTGTTTCCTGATTGTTGCAGAGAGTTCAGTAAGGAGAGGGAGAAGGCGAAGGCGCGAGGAGACTTCCAGAAGCTGCGGGAGAAGCAGCAGATGGAGGAGGATCTCTGCGGGTACATGGACTGGATCACTCAGGCCGAGGACATGGACGACCTGGATGAAGACGGAAACCCACGTAAGACTTGGACTCTGTGTTCTGTTGTGGTTTCACAGATCCTCCAGCAGCGGCACATTGTGGATTCTCCTCAGCAGTAAATAGAGGTTGGTGGTTTTTACTCTCTCTGCAGCAGAAAGCAGTTTAGATTAAAGCTCTCAGTGGCTCGAGGTGTGTGTGTGTGTGTGTGTGTGGGGGGGGGGGGCTTTGCAAATGAAATCCTGGCCCAGAATCAGGTCATGTGGACGTGGTTTATCTCCACTAATGTGAAGCAGGAGATAAGACGTCCGAATGTGATGTACTGCAGTCAGTCATGAACTGCTCCATGTTTGGTTTGATGTTTTCTCATAAACCTTCAGTCTCTGAGGGTCGAGACACCTGAGGCACTTTAGTTCACCTCATGATGCATCCAGGTGAGATCACTGAGTTCACCTGACAAGAAATTAATTATCTCAGCATTAACCCCACAAGTCTGTTTGATCTCAGAGCTCTCGTCACTGAACGTGTTTTAATTCATATCCTGATGCTGCTCAATAATGCAGGTACATAAATCTAACAACGTTGAGCCAGGTCCTCTGGACAGATTCTTCTTGTTGAAATGTTTCGTCTTTTATCCAGAAAACTTTGTCAGTCTGAGGAGCTGCAAAAAACTCGATCTTATAAGAAGGCGCCTGTGTGCATGGCTTGCCATTTGCTGCTGTCTTTGCTCGTATTATTTCTGTTTTTTTAGTTTCTCATCTTTGACGTCAACTCTCTGTTGGTGTACGAACGACAACAACTTCTGGATCTTTGACTTTGTGCCACCAACATCACTGATTTTGTCCATTATGAGGGAGCTCTGGTTAGGGTTAGATCTGTTTTTTTGAGAGGAACATAAATCTGACTGTCATCGGCATAACAGTGGAAGGAAATAAAGTTCAAAGTATAACAGAGTTCATCTCCTGACAGTAACAGCGTGTCTTCTTTCTGAATCTCAGGGCCGTCTCTGGGGGATTTGTGTGATAAGAAGAGGAAGTTCGGATGGTTCAGTCACTCCAACGAAACTCACGGTGAGAAGCTCACCTTTCAGAACAAACACTGAGCCATAACCAGTTTCTGAAGGACAACTGGACCTTTTGTTTCTAGATCTGGTCCGTTTCAGTTTGACTTCTGTTCCTCAGTCTCAGTCAGTTGGACCGGGTCAGTTGGGTCTGGTACTGGTGTGGTTTTGCACTGTTAAATGAACTGGGTGAACTTTAGTTCTTAGATGACTGTCAGAGACTAAAACCTTTTTTGGAATCTGTCTTTAAGTTGATAAATCTGGTTCTGGTATTCAAGTGTGTCCAGTTCTGACCCGGGCTGCAGGTCCATCAGATCTCTTTACCACAGTGACCCAGGGACATGGTTTGATCCGATGTGGGACAGTCAGACTGTCTGGGTTTCTATGTGTCTTCAAATTGTTCTTACTCAGTTTCTCATTCGGTCGATTCTCTCAGAGCCGATCAGCTGATTGTATTCAGATCAGAAAATATTTTCTCCCAGCTGGAGAAAAATCAGAGACCTCGAGGATGATGAAGAATTACTGATGATCCAACATGTTTTTGAAGTTTTACTCAACTTATGTCTCCTGTCTGTCTGCCTGTCAGCGAGTCTTCCTGCCAGTGAGACGGGTTCTGAAAACACGGAGAACATCGATGAGGAACACACCAATTGCTGCCAGGCGTGCTGGTAATGTGCTGCTTATTTGGTTATACATACAAGCCACTGTACACCCATGTTTTCTATTTGGGGGTTGGGGGTGGGGGGTCCAGGTGTCTTCAGGTGAGTCAGGTGGACTTTAGTACCCCCCCCCCCACACACACACACAAACACACACACATCTGACTTTGTTATGTTTTGTTTCAGCTCTCGGATGCTGAAGGTTGGCTGCTGGTGAGTTTAGACCCTCTGCAGGTAAATGTCACTTTGATGAACGTCCTTGTCACGAGACGTCTCTCTTTGTGTCTCAGTCGGACGCTGCGGCGCTGGAATCGAGTCTGTCGCAGAAACTGTCGCACTGCAGTCAAATCTGTGCTGTTCTATTGGCTGGTTCTCCTGCTGGTCTTCCTCAACACCTCCCTCAGTGCCTCTGAGCACTACAACCAGCCGGAGTGGCTGACCCAAGTCCAGGGTAACTCCTCCTCCTCTATGTAACCATGGCAACCAGGTTTCTCACTGTGCATAGGACTGTGCAGCTTGTCTTCATGTAAAGACTATGTCCCTCTGGTCCAGATGTTTGTCTAACATGTGTCTCTGCAGACATCGCCAACAAGGTGCTGCTGTCGCTCTTCACAGTGGAGATGCTACTGAAGATGTACAGTTTGGGTCTGGCTCATTACTTTGTGGCCTTCTTTAACCGCTTCGATTGCTTTGTGGTGTGCGCTGGCATCATCGAGACCATCCTGGTGGAGATGAACATCATGCCTCCTCTGGGGATTGCCGTGTTGCGCTGCGTCCGCCTGCTGCGCATCTTCAAGGTCACACGGTGAGGGAACCAGGCTGGAACCTCCCAGCGCTTGTTGCTGCTCCTCTGATTATGCCATCCTGTGTCTCCTCAGCCATTGGACAGCTCTGTCCAACCTGGTGGCGTCCCTACTGAACTCCATGAAGTCCATTGCCTCACTTCTGCTCCTCCTCTTCCTCTTCCTTATCATCTTCGCTCTTCTCGGCATGCAACTGTTCGGAGGAAAGTTCAACTTTGACGAAACACAGACAAAACGAAGCACCTTTGACGCCTTCCCTCAGGCACTGCTCACCTGCTTCCAGGTATGGCTGAGGAAGAGTGATGTCACTTCTTGCAGAAAGTATGGAGAGGCATGTCTCTGATAATCTTCATGCGTTCAGATCCTGACAGGTGAGGACTGGAACGTGGTCATGTATGACGGCATCATGGCATACGGAGGTCCCGTGTTTCCTGGGATGATTGTCTGCATTTACTTCGTCATCCTCTTCATCTGTGGCAACTGTATCCATGGAAACAGATGATCACATGATCAATGATGGCATGTTTCCATCACACATCCATCATCCATCACCCATCCATCATCCATCCATCACCCATCCATCCATCCATCCATCCATCCATCATCCGTGATCCATTCATCCACCTATCATCCATCCATTCATCATTCATCCATCCATCCATCATCACCCATCCATCCATCATCCATCCATCCATCATCATTTATCCATCATCTATCCATCCATCCATTATCCATCATCCACCCATCCATCCATCATCCATCCATCCATCCATC